AAGCCTGCCTGCTGCTTTTGTCATTTCTCTTTTTCTCCTCATATTGAGGGCTCTCCCCATCCCTGAGTAAAGTCTGCATGTCCCTCTAATCTGTCCTTCAGCAAATTTTATGTCTTGCCCTTTCTCCATTGTCACTGACACTCCCTTTTTGGTGGTCAGTTGAAGTTCATAATCTCAGGTTTCAGTGGATGAAGCATCCTTTCCTCTGCCCAAACTGAGAAACCTTGAAGAAAATCTTTTCTCACTGCAGCTGAATGAAGCCACTGGAGAGATTACATTCTCAGCAGTGATGGCGGAGCACTTGGGAAAGCATTGTCACTGCTCTTTCATTGACTTTGAATGGAGTCTGTCACTCCAGGGCTGTCTGTCTAGCTGCTTTGTCTGAGAGATTTGAAACCAGAACAGTAATCATCTCTGTGCTGAAAAGACGTGTGCATTTTAGACCATACTTATAGGCAGAAAAACACCTTTAACGCTTACACCTCTCAAGCTGTTGTTTGGTTTATGAGGGTAAAAGCCTGGTTTCCATTTCCAGTTCTGATACACATCTGTGTGCCTAAACACTCCCAGCCCTCCCCATCATCAGTCCTCACCCTCTGTTACCTTTCTGTCAAATTGCCATTTTCGTTTCCCCTGCTTGTGTTTCCCTCCATTGTATTTCCTATGAGTTTCTCATTTGATTTCCTTCATGCCTGTTTTTATCTTTCTGCCTTCATCGCCAGGCTGCCTCTGACATGTTGGTTCCCAGCACAGGTAGAGCAGCATTCAGCAGAGCTGTGCTTCTGTCTCAATGACTTAACATCAAACGCCGACAGACCTCTCCCCGCTTCACCTCCCTTGTCCTTTTCTCCCATTGCCCCTCTCCTCCCCTTGTTTCCTCACTGTTTCCCTTTCCTTTTCCTTCTCCTCCTCTTCCCTATCCCATCACACCCCATCCTCCCTTCCTCCCTCAGCTTGCTCCTCCTCCTCCTCCTCCTCTCTCCATTGCCCCTCCACCCTCTTCTTCATAACCTCAGAGCCTTTCCCCAGGGCCTCCACTCAGTCGCCATGGTGACTACAGAGCCGCCCAGTTGCAGTATCTTGATGTGTCAAGGTTAAAGTTTTACTCTGCCTTTCACCAGTGAGCCTTTCCATTTCCATTTCGTCCTGTTCCCTTCTGACGTGAGTGCACCTCATTTTCAAGGCCTCTGGCTGTGGACACAAAAGATGCATACTCCTCCATTTTCCCACTCATTTTCTCCCCTTATATATTACCTGTTTTATTTATTTATTTATTTATTTATTTTTAACTGGTACATCTTTGAGGTCATGCATCAAAGCTCCACTGCTGATTGCTTCAGTTGAAGCATTATGAAATCAGATTTCAGCCTCCAGCTTGTGTCAGTAGCATTAAAGCCTTTTACCTCATGACCGTATTTGACTCCACATAACAGTTGCAGGTCCTGAGAAGCATTTCTTGGTTGGAACCAACTGAGAGACTGATGAAAATGTTAACAGGGACACATGGAGCTGTGAGCTGTACTAGATTGCTGTTGGGATTCAGGATGGATGAGAGGAGGGAGGGCGGGAGTGTCTAATATGTTGCTACTCAGCATTTAGCCTGAGGCCTTGTTAAGTCCCCTCCATATGAGATTCTGAGCCCACAGCAACCTGTTCAAACATCATTTGTCTTTCTCCTGTCTAATTTCAGTCATGTCAGAGCTCAACAGGTCTTTTGTTTTATAATATCAGTGTTTTAACCTCATCATTATTGGCAAATGCTATTTCTTTATGTTACTGTTCTTCTTGCAGACTGGTTGGAGATATAAGACAAATCTCTGGATGTTTATGTACATGTATAAATTTGCGTCATTTGCATTTGGTTCAACAGAGCTGCAGCGTGGTCCAGGAGGAGGACGGGTGCGGGGCAGGGTGCAGCTTTATGACACCCCCTATGAAGATGAGCGTGGCCGGCACCTGGGCCTGGTGTATGGAGAACCTCAGGAGGAAGGCAAGGACACGAGTAGGCTGCCACAAGACGATGAGAGGCCAGCCGATGAGTATGACCAACCATGGGAATGGAAAAAGGACCACATCTCCAAAGCTTTTGCTGGTAACGAGAAACATTCTGACCATATTCTTACTATAAAGTCACCAAAAGCCAAGGTGGAGCATAGTCTGACAAAGCCATTCTCAATTCTTGCTTCAATCTAAAAGGTAGTAAATGGTTTAAATCCTTTAAGCTGTACATGTCTGTCACTGTACGGTTCCTAGACCAGACTGGAGAAGTTCTCCATGAATTGGACTGTCACTGGTCTTTGCTTGTGATTTCCAGGCTGGAAAATAGACATGGCAGCTATTCTGGAAATGTCCAAATTGTCAAGAAAATACATTTAGACAAAGGTTTGGACAATGGAGCCATTGAATTATGCAATTTAATCAGTATTTAAAACTCATAATTTACATAACAGTTCATGAGTTTTAACAAGCAGTGCATCACATTGTCTAAACCATTCCTCATACTTTGCTGGTACATAGTAGCTTCAAATTGCCAGGCTCAGTTGATATTCAGACCCAGTTAAAACTCCCCACACTGGCAATCTTACATTGTATTGAAGTGCCTTTAGTAAAACAATGAATCCTGGCCAGCTGCTGTACAGAGATCTCCTGCAGCTTCACAGTGTCAAGCATAAACCATAAGCACAAAATATGCCTTTTTGTAAAGGCAGTCCCTCAATAGAATTACTGAAGATGGTTAAGACTAGGCTCAGACAGGCTGTTGTAAAGGTCAGAGTTCTCCCAGGAGCACACTAAAACACACCACTGCTGATACTACATAGTGAAATACTCATCTAACTGTCCTGACCTTTAATTTAGTGCCTGCCCCCCATACTGCTGTCTCAGCTCAAATGAAACATGCAGAGCCCTTCTCTCTCTTTAGCTGTTTTCTGACATGTTGTTTGCAACATTTCTGACTTCATCAGTCTGTTAAAATAACCTTTTCTCATTCAGGTGATGTAGGTCACTTTTACGTTATTGTTCACAGTATCATTCACACATGCCAACGACTGATAGGAGCTCGGCATGTGAACGGTACATCAAATGATGTGAGGCCAGGGTTTTTACTGCAACATGAAGGAGCTCGGCATGTGAACAGTACATCAAATGACGTGAGGCCAGGGTTTTTACTGCAACATGACGGATGAACATGAGCGCTTTCCAGGGGAATTTCTTTTTTTTTTTTCAAGTGATATGTAAATGTTAGTAGGTCCGACCTAGTAAGATTGCCGTCACAACCTTTATGGAAAATTAACCTAGGTGCTCAGTCAGATATGAACCGGATACGTTCATATTATGTCACATTAATGGAAAGGAGTGAAAGGGGCTTTTTACTACATTTAAACACCTTCTGGTGACTATTGATTTCCTACTCTCACAAATATGACAGGCCACAGGCTGGCAACCTCTGAGATGATGATTAGAGTTGACAGATGTGATGTGTGTGTGTGTGTGTGTGTGTGTGTGTGAGAGAGAGAGAGAGAGAGAGAGTAGCTGTTGTAAGAAGGAGCAGGTTCACACAAAGTGCATGATTTTTATTTTTTAAAATTGCGCCGGCCAGTGTAGTAATACTTGAGTCCAGGACTAGGACTCAAGTCTGACTTGAGTCCAGATTTTCAGGACTCATAATTCTGCTTTGACTTGAGCACTTATCACTTGGATTCGGACTCGAGCAGTGACTGCATTCAGACTTGAAAGTTGGAGATGAGGGCTCTAACTTTTCTTTGTGATAGGCTATAATAATTTGGTGTAAGATATTGAAATTAAAATCTGTTCACCTGCAACATGCTGTATCCGGCACAACAGTTCCATCAAAATGTACACTTAGCCTTTCTATAAATGATTTTTATGTATTGTTTAATGTAGACCTGGATGACCTTGCTAATGGGGACTTGACTCAGATTATTGCTGGCAATTCCACTTGGACTCAAGGTTTAGTGACTCAACTACAACACTGGCACTGACTGTGCATTTCACATCCATTCCCTTTATGTTCCATCTACTGAATATATTTGGAGGGAGAGAGTCCAGTGAAGAGAGACAGAACCAGAGTGATGGGTCATTTATGAGTGGATCAATGTAGAGCACGCCAAGCCAAGTTGGCTTAATTGAGCTGCACCAAGTCACCAAGGTCAAGGTGATGGGATAATAAATCAGCCTTGCCTCGTGTGCACTCCCTTTCATTCACACCCTCTTCCTCACTTCCTTTGCTGTGTGCCTGACACCCCTCCTTTCTGGTTAATTGCATTCTTACAAGTGCGTGATAAGAGAGTCATGGCCAGAACACAATTATCTACGCACACATACACACTTGCACCCTATATTCATTCAGTGTGTTCATGCTCACATCACATTAACCGAAGGAGCAGCAGAGACACCATATCTTATTTGAGAGTGGAGATGATTTTAAAAAAGAGGTGCTCAACAGTTAATTGAATAGTCAATACAACCTCTCACCTCCTTAGCACTCATTCGTGCTTTGTCATTTTCTTGCTTTTGCTCTTTGCCCCCCCACCGCACACACACACACACACACACACTCCTGAAGGGGAGTCCTTACAGCACCATTAAAGAAAGCAGTGGAGGAAAACGCTTGAGTTGTCTGACCCCTTGTTTTTTCTATCTGGAGTCAACGCTCTGAGCTGGCGTTCTGTCTGAGTGGACGAAAGCACTGAAGTGTAAACACACAAACACTATTTTCCATTCCCACATTTAATCCATATTCCCAGACCCTCTCAACACTGCTAGGCTCAGCCCACATGTAAGGGAGGGGAGGAATGGGGATGACAAGGGAGATGTAGAAAAAGAGAGAAATGGGAAAAAGGGTAGAGAAGAAATGAGAAGTTTGGAGTGAGAGAGACAGACAGGGGGGGAAACAGAGAAAACTAGCTATAGAGAAATAGAACAGGACGTCCAAGGTTATCGTATGTTTAGTAGTACTGTAGCTCAATGGATGTTTGTGGAGGCCCAGTGCATCAGAAGGGAGGGGTGTTGAGGAGAATTAATGGGCGGGGGCTATGTTGAGGTGAGGCAAATGGAGAGGAGGGGGAGTCTGGGCCATTGTGGCAGTGTGCAATC